ATATAATGCAGAATTCTGCATCATCATGGCTTTTTACAGCAGGACAAATCATCAGAATATTCTCATGCATATCCACTGGGAAAAGACTGATTTATTTCCGGCTCCTAACAGGCGTCTGTACTACTTAGGTTCAAACCATATCAAGATGTGGAACCTATTACATAATATGTGGCTGTAGACCGTATTAAAAGCTATTGGGACACGTGAATATCAGTCTGAAAACCCTTATGTGAACCATATATTGTAAAGGCAGGAAGTGATATGTTCGAATGGACAGTCCTTCCACATCTTGCATTTAGACATGACTAGCACATTATGACTTTTGTTCTTTTAAGGGCAGTCTCCGTGGACAATACTTACAAACATTTAATGTCCTTAAAGCAGCTGTATTCATTTGGCTTTGTATATGTTCATTTTTATCAAACAGCATGATGAAGCTCACGAAAGAAAATTCGCCATATTTAACCAGGACTAAGTTGAAATGTTTCTGGTTGTGCAAATGTTCAACACCATTAATATACTTTTGTTGATTATCTAATATGGATAGCGTATAGGAAACAATCCCTATTTTTATGAACACCTCTATCATAACGCTGCTGACAAGTTTGCATATAGTCTAAAAATAGCAAGAATCAATACTCTCTCTCTCTCTCTTCGAATAATTAAGTAAACTAGTCTTAATCAATATTTACGTCATTTAAAAATAACCACATTATATGATTATATGTTTATTGTTCTGATATGTAACAAACACTAATAAAATGGTTGGGTTGACCATCACACTTGTAATGTCTCTACTGATCAAAATGCACAGTGTGTTTAATGCCATTTTGTGACTTGAACCTTGGATCTTCCAATCCACAATCCAGCATGTTAACCATAAGGTCACGCCCAGCCTCCATGAAAGTCAGTGAATTAGTTTCTTACAGCCCATCTCAAATGCAATACATTTCACCACTGACCAATTTTCTTAAAAATAAGGGTTGGGCATGCATGGTGTGGTGACTAGCGTGCTGGGCTGTTAATTCTGGGAAACCATGGTTTGTGTCCCATTGACGTAAAATTGTTATCCTCATCTGTGTTATAAGAGTGGTGGTCAAATCCCACCATTCGATTGGAATGGCTGAAGAGTTGCCAGTGGGGGCTATTGACACATTGCCTTTCTCCTAGTATATCAATTCAAAATTAGAGATGGCTAGTGCAGATAGCTTTGTGTGAATAACCAAAACATACACTCACTGTTAAAGGGATTTTCCTGTAGCAATTCACATTTGTTGTTTAATATCTTAATTATGTTTTGTCACATTATAATTTAAGCTTTAAGCATCGGTGCCCTTTTTACTGGCTAATGTGTATATAAGCGAGAGGTTCTCAAAGTTGTATATTAGCCACCTGTAAGCTCATTACTTTCTTTTGGGATGACTTAAATAGACATGAATTTCACCCTTCCATAACTAGTATAGAGAATATTTTTAATTAGGTATAATCTTTATTCATCTATGAAGAATACAGGCCCTCTTTGGCACTGCTACCAATTCTGTTGATCTGAACTAACATTCAGATTAGATGTGTTCTGCTCTTCAGTCAACTATGGAGCTAAAACAGATCTTTTTTTTTACTTAACCCTATCACCCAGGGTATACTTTACTGCACTAACACAAGGTTTTAGTGTCTTACATTCAAATTTATTAAACTACTTTCTGTTTATGTTATGCAATTAAAATAGCATAAAATCTTAGCTAATAATCCATATTTTAATAGTATTTAAGTTCTTAGTTCTACAAGGTAATATTTAATAAATTCTGAATTTCCACTAGTGTGACCCACGTGACACATTTTCTCTTAGCATGTCATCATCCCTATTTTATCCACCACCACTCGAAAAAGTACGAAATTAAACGTAAATTACTCTCTATAAAATCCTTATTGCTCAGACAAACCATAATTTTTATAGTTTTCAACTTTGTTTGGTTACAAAGCTATCAAATAGAAGATCAGAACCCTCCTCCCACACCCACATGTCGCATCCTCTCTTTCACAATTCGTTCATAGTTCTCTCTTACGTTTCATTATATATTACTTATAACCAATAGGTTTTCATCTATCAAATAAGGTATTGTATAACGTTGTATTCTGAACAGAATGTCGTCAATTTCACTCTCAGTACAAGATTGGTCCCTGTGGAAAAATTAATGACTAGCTTGGATGAATTTGTAATGACTCTTGTCCCATAGTTAAAAAGCCAGAAAAATGTTGAGAGGTAAGGGAATTTGTCTACTTTTTCTATGATATTATTCTATATTCTTTGGTGTATTATTTGATTAAATAAACTTAAGTGCATTACTATTAGTACTATAAAAATTAGGTTTAGTTGTCATCGACAATCAAAAGCAAGAAAAAAGAAGATTGGGTAAGTACTTTATTTCTTGTTTTTCATATATATATTCTTTATTTATTATTATAAAAGTAACGAAAATATAAAAATACGGATCCTTTAAATTATTTAAGACTAGATTAGGTAAAATAAGTAATAACAATATACTTAAAATGGCTCAAGAGACAGGAATGGCGGGAGCAGCTCGTGGGTAATGTAATTTGATAGAGTAACGTGACCTACACGTTATCTGAAAGATTTACAACTTATAATGACGTGGATAGTAGTTAAACACAGTTCAAGGAGAATAAAGGGCAATAAAACGTAATTATAAATAGATGTATACTGTTATGAAGTTGGAGCTACTTAGGTAGAATAAGCGAATGTAGTTTCATGTTACAATTTGAAATCACTCTAGAAAGAAAAAAGTGTAATTTAGATATATATTTCGTGTTTTTTTTGTGGTTACGAAGTCGGTCGAATTGACCGATCCCGTTTTGAGATAGGGTAGAGACAATAACAGATAAACCATAAAGTTTTACTGAAAAAATGTTTGAAATGCATTTAGGAGGTTTTATGGATTACACAAACGAAATTTGAGATGAGGAAAAGTATTTTTAATTTTAACATGAAAATTACTTTGCACAGGGACTATTCAAAACAAATACTCAATATATTCATGGACAAATCTTTATTACATTAAAAACACTTCATTAAAAAATGATTTTTGAATGTGAAAGACTTGTAATATTAACTGAAAGACTGCCAAACTTCGTGAAGATATATACACACTATATTGAAAGTTATAAATATTAAATCTATAAAGACTTTAAACGAGTACAAAAAGGTCACGTGGTCGATCAAATTGACTGAGTCATATTGAGAGAGTTAATCCAGATTCTTCACTGTACGTAAGTAAAATCCATACCCTGTGCCACCTAAACAACAAATCAACATGTGATCAAAACTCTAGAGAAAGGGGAATGCTAAATTTTCAGAGTGAGAAACATGGCTAGAAATATTCAAAATAACTGTATTTTCTTAGCAGGACATGTGATATATATACATATAACATATGACACACATTTGTACTGGTTTTTTTTAATTACATTTAGACGTAACTTTCCATACTGTATTACCTGTTTGTGTCTTTTAATTTTGAGTGTAGTATTAATTAGGATAAGAAAAAATAATACGCCGTATATTATTAACAATATATTTAGTTCTCCTAATTAAATAGTCTTAATATTTAACATTAACTGGGTCTTGAATATATGACCTTTGGCTGACAGGATCAGGCTCTACCACTGAATTATCCAAGAGCACAAGCCATAAAACAATCTTGTTCTCATATTTCTGTTACGTAAATCAAACAATTTTGTTTCGAAAAAAAATTGTAGTAAACATGTAAGATGTCTAAGTCTCTCGACAAAATAATGTAGTAAAGTTTATTTGTACTTTATATTAGAGAGAGAGACTTGGTAGAGTTCAACAATTTTGCACTAGGAGTTTGAAACGGGACAAAATCCTGATATATGGTAACGTTAAATTAATTACATTTTCGGTATTTGGAATCATGACATTAAATCTCTCTTAGAATATGTTCATTTCTTTACCAACTTACATCCTTCTATTAAATTTACTGTTTCACACACTGAGGTTTCTTTCGAGTCCTTACCGTTCCTTAACACCATGGTTTCTATCGAAAATAGCTTGTTTCTAAAATGTTCCAAAAACCATATGTTAAACCGTTGATTTTACATTTCATCTCACATCATCCACCCCATACTAAACACGGTGTAATTATTGGTGAACTTAAAAGAATCTGCAACGAAACGACAGTAAAACAACTGCTAGGTCGGACTTAAGAAAACTTCTTTGTTGTACTGGTTACCTATATTTAAGAAATTTTTAAACAATTTCTTGGAAATAGTTAAATAAAAATAATTCAATAAACATTTAAAGACTGCTAATGTCGATTAATCCCTTACTAAGCATTTACCCAAAGCTATCTATAAGATTTTTCAGTAAGAAAAATTATTGTAGAGCGAAAATTTATCTTGCTATAAACAATGGACTAGAAAACTCTTGTACTGTTAAAAACGTACTTTATGAAATGACATGTACCCAATGCGATGATAAATACATTGATCAAACGGTCTTCCAGTACGTAAACGTTCTGAGGACATCCATGCCACCGTGAATGTAGGTTCTAAACAAACCACCGCCGAACACTCTAATGGTAAATTTAAAGTCTCTTTCTCTCGATTCATCTCATAAACCTAAAATAAACAGAAATGATTCTCGTCTTTGTGTTGTTCGATAGCTTGCAATTTTCTATTGCTTAGTAATTCTATTTATTTTTGATGTGCGTGCGATAAATCGTGACATTACCATTATAAAGGCTGTTTTTAAGCGTTGTATGTGTTATTTCCGGTTGTCAGTTTTTATTTGTATACGATACTATAACCCTTGAGAAAGACGTAAGCCGAAACGTCGAGTTTAAGTAAGATTGTTTTTGTGAAGTGTGTTTTTTCTTTGTAAACCTTGTATTTATATTTATTCGATAAATCACATCATTTATACGATGTTAAAAAATACTCTCACTTCCTCTGAGTTACGAATGAAATCTTTATTTCTTTTAATACTCCACAAATCAAAACGAATTAGTAAATTACATATTTCTCACTTAACACAATAATAAGGGTTACAGCATGCTAATGTTATTAACTAATGTAATATAATTTTTAGACACAACAATAAAGGTTGCTTATTTTTCGATTAAATTATACACCTATATCTATTACATACTAAAACAGACATTTAGTATAACTTTAACATAAGGCAAATAAGGATACAAAATAATAATATTATTCGCCATTGTTAAATACGTCCCTTAACTATACGTTTTCTGATATAACAACACAGAAATAAACATATCATGGTTATTAAGACTTTTTATACGTGAGATTTTAATAAATATATAATTGTGTGAAGGGAAATTAGTTTAAAATTCTCTGAATAAGGTAACATGTTAATGATTACTATGGACAACTAGCCTTGTTCTGATTCAGAGAGAGAGAGATGTTTACAACTCGACCATGAATCATAGTAGAATCGAGTTGTTCCTTCGAATCGGAAGTGGTGACGTTTTGATAACTGAAGGCTAAAATCTTAAATTATACATGAATTTGTTTCGACTTAACTGGGCTAATGTAACTCTCGTAAACTAGAATACGATATCCCGACCAGTAGAAACAATGGATTGAACAAGCATTAAATGATTCTAAACACATGCGGTTTACTCTTTATGCACGTTTCAAAAAATATTAATATACATTTGCAGAATAGTTGTAAGGATGTGTGATAAGTGTCAAAAACATAGTCAATCACAATTTTTCAAAATTTATATATTTTCTTTTGTGAGTTAAAAACAAGATAGAGTTAATGTTTAAAATAAAATCATTGAGATCCAAGTACAAAATGCGATCTACTTTGTCAGAAAAACACGTACGTTCAAAAAGTCTTGATACGAAATGATAAAAACCAAGTAACCCGAGCACTTTCGCTACTTTGTTCATTCATGATGTCAGAAAAACACGTACGTTCAAAAAGTCTTGATACGAAATGATAAAAATCCAATAACTCGAGCACTTTCGCTACTTTGTTCATTCCTGATGTCAGAAAAACACATACGTTCAAAAAGCCTTGATACGAAATGATAAAAATCCAATAACTCGAGCACTTTCGCTACTTTGTTCATTTTACTCTTAGCGAATTTTAAACTTGATACAGTATTTTTATTACGAATTGTTATGATGGCGGACTTTAAGTCAAATATATATTTCTTTAATACATGACTCATTTTGCTTATTTTATTAATTAATTAATATATTCTAAAAAAATTAGATCTACTGTTATAGATTACTTTATACACTATTATGTATTTACATACAATCAATCGATTATTTTGTTTGCTTTCGGATCTTCGCACAAAACTACTCAAGCGTCATCTGCATTAGCCGATTTTAAATTGATAGACTAGATGAAAGGTAGCTAGTTAACAGTACTCACAGCTAACTCTTGGGATACTCTTGTTGGGCCGTCATTCTTATAACACACCTATAGCCCCAAAGTGCAGAGCACCTTTATATTTTATTTGTGAAATAACTGGAGGCAAACGCAGTATGTGCAGGTTCATAGTCCGGTACACTACCAACTAGGCCAGACTCGGTCCGATATTTTTAATAAAATCAAATTCTACGTTTTACCATAATATGGAATTGTATACATTATTACAGTAATGTGAATAAATCATACAGTTAAGAAGTTTGTTAAAAAAATAAGGTAAAAATATAAGGCCATATTTAAACAATATCGTCTACAACAGTTCATTAAAAATAAAGGGTAAAACCAGTTTTAACCGTCAATGTGTATTTATTTTTATGATCCAAGGTTCCTCATCTTCCTTCAGTACAAAAAAAAACTGCTTTCATGGATTATACATGAATATCTCCTTAAAGATAAAAAATAAAAGATGAGAATAACTGCTAAACATGAAAACATATTTAATATTCAGACATTTCGGTGTAAACTATTTCTATCAGTTATCTATAATTATATACACAAAAAGTGATATAACATAACAGATAAACATAATTGTACATGGATTAAGGTTAGAATAGAATGATATGTATACATACATAAACATATGAAATAAAGTGAGTAATTTAAAAAAAGAACAGTTAGTAAGAGCCAGCTCTGTTATTTAAAGTTCAATTTTCCTTTCTTTTAGAAGTAGTTCACAATCAGAATACTCGGATAGGAAAATTAGTAATACAGATAGGGAGATTGTATTCGTTTCTTTTTAGTCAAGTGGAGGAGATAACAGTGGTTTTTAGGCTTCTGCTTGATATTCATAGGAGGGCATTTTTAATTGTCGTTTAGATGTGCTGAAATGGGAGGTTTTACAGCTACTATACGTTCTGAAACGCATGAAAATTATTAAATATATTTTTATGTTTTGACGTTGTTTTCACTTTTTAAAAAAAAATAAGACTCAATTTCCACTAAATGAATCACTTTTAAGTTACACCTTTACAATACATAAATCATTTTAACTCAAATCTAACGGTAATTTAGTAAATTAAAATGTCGTGTTATATTTATTTTAATCAATTGTAAATAAAAATTATTTAACAAAATCACCACACTTTTATACATCGACCTATTTATTTCACAGGAGTTAGTTGTAGATGATCACTTCTCTTGGCAGTCACTTTCGGTAAACAAATATTGTTCTATATTTATGCTTCGTTAAGTAAAAATATTTAACTAATTTGTAAAACGTTTACTATTTTGACCCGTCTTTTCGATTCCAGGTATATTTCTTGCTGAATTTCTACTTAACGAATAACGATGGCTATTATTATCTGGTCTTCACACTCATTGTTTTGACGAAAAAAAAGTGTCATTTATTTGTCAGAGTTATCATAAGTTTAGCATGGGTTTATTTCTGTTCATAATTAAACGACTGTCGTAACAATTACGCCTCCTTCCCGTATTTGCCTTTCTCGAATTTCTGTCACGAGTTCAATATCTGGTCTGAACAACAGCTTGCATCGCTATATTAAAAATAATATTAGATCAAATCAAAATTTATAAATCACAAATACGTGCACATTTTCTGAGACACTGGTGGTTATAAAATTAATTTAGAATGAAAGTGCCGTTTAAAATAAAACTTTTTCGTGGTATAAAGAATAGTGACCATAGTTTATCTTATGATAATATATTTCTAGGTCTCTATAAGTGTGAATGTATGGATACAGCGATTAATTTAAAATTATTACTTTTTTTAGCAGCTGAAATATTCTGTAGTTGTTATTTTTCGTGAAAAATTTAATTTTCCTTCATCTGAAGAAATTTACATAAACTTCTTAGGATCTCAATAAAATAAGAATCTTAATTATGAAAAGTTTACGAAATGCGCTTTTATTTGAAAAAAATATCTGTATACCCGATAAAAAGAAAATGAGTTTTGTTTGTTTTTTCTTTTTTGTTTAAATTATATCTTAATGTACATTTTTTAACCCTAAATCCTTTGTTCAAACTAGAATAGATATAGAAGTGAGAATGATAGTAATGATGCCAGGTTTTTACCCTTCTTTCAGTTGGAGGGACCAAAATAACACAGATATGGAAGACAAAAGGACAGTAACTATAAAATTGATTTGGGTAAATGAAAATAAAAACAAATTGAAAAAGTTATGATGAAGAAGAAGAAGCCACGCAGACATTTTAAAATGTTAATTTTATGATTATCCACGTACAAGTTGTTTCTTAAAGTTTTCAGACACAATAGGAAATTGCGTTTATTTCTTATATGACAGAACTTTGTACTTTGGGTATAAAAATAGTGTTGATATTACGAGAGAATACTGGGGAAGAGGCTAAGGAATATTTTGAGGAGTTGGCCTATTGAACTAAAAAATATTCAGGTCAATGAAACTTTAAAACAATGTAGTGTTAAAAAATAGGCTACATATTTTATCGTAACTAAATATTTTTCTTGCAAAGAAATGTTATGGATCATTTGAAAACAACCAATTATTTAATAACTTCTACCAGAAGAACTGCTACAATTCTACAAAAATAGTCACAATTAATAATAAATAATCTTAATTACGAGTAACAGGTAAACTACAAAAAGCTTCTTTACCACTCTGCCCTAAATCATCAGTTTGGTACCCTCCCTGCTAGCGATTTTTTGTTCCTTAATCTAAGAATACCTGACAAGATTTGTTCTGCTTAGCGAAATAACCACGCACTGAAGCAGAACAGTCACATGTACAAGGCTTCATGTACCATACTTTTCACATTCGGCAAGTGTACTTATTATTTTTAAAGACATTCAATGTTATATATTAAATCTGTTTAATATCACAAATAATTAAAATACATATTATTTAAACGAAATATTGTAAATGACTATAAATTACAGAAACACATACAAACTTACGACTTATTTCAGTAATTGGGAAGTTTCAAGCTAGATGTCCTCAGAACAATAGCATACCCTGTATGAATACACGACCACTAATGTATGTGGTCTAGTTCTACACATCCAAATACACCAAAGCACCAAAGTACTTGAGGGTGACATTGCTAAAGAAAGTCTGACCCAACGGTCAGAGTTGAAGAGGACTTATAAAGGGAACAAACCAAAGGTGACCACTTTTTTAAAGCAGAAGGATAATTTAAGAAATATAGCATAGAATGTGAGAAATTCAGAGATAATAGATATAGTTTTAAATCTCTATGGTGTGATTAACGCTTAGTCTTGTGTTGAAGTATGTAAGGTTAGGATAAAAAAACCTGTAAATACTGATAGTGCTTAACGTACATTTATGCATACCACGCTCAAACATACAATACAGATGACTGGTGAATTTATTATAAATCTTGAGATTTCATATAATTCTTATGGGGTTACAACCACGACACATCTTCTTTCTTCCTTAATTAAATTAGTTATTTACAATAGAAGTTACAGTTGATTATAAGTTAACCGTGGAGTGGAAAAGTCTTTCCCCTAATTACATCACAAAAACGTGAAACCACATTACAAAGCATGGAGTTTTCACATGAATCCTTCGTTTACATTCACTATGCTGTGCATCCATTGAGAATACATTCCAAAAAATGTTAAAGATAATTCTTCAAATCTATAACAAACTTGGTTACAGTATGAAAAATTGTTATCATAGTGATTTATCTATCCTTACCTCTTTGACAGTACCAGGCGTGATAATGAAAATGTAAATAGCATACGTGGGAATGCAGAGCATTGATGACAGTGCCAGCAACCAACCAATAAGCTGACCCCACCACGGATAAGTGTAGTCGATGTAGACCAGTGGCTTGTATTGGACCAAGCTAAAGAAGAAGACTCCCTATATAAAGAAAAAGAAAAAAAATCCTGTTCATTTGTTTAGTTTCCAGAGTATCTCCGTTTTCCATAATATATTTAGTTCTTACATTTTATCAAAAACGTGTAATTTCAAATAAAATGGGAGCATGCGATTGATTGTTGTATATGACGACAACCTGTTGCAAGAATGATGAATTTCTCGTACATGCATTTGTTATTCTAATGTAGGGCATAATGTTAATTGATAACGAATATCGCAACTATCAGTCTTAGCTAGTAAAATGTATTATCTAAACGCTGAAAGCTGGCGAAATGTTGGAATAATATGTAAGCTTGTGCATACCACACGTTTTGTCTTTTGTCAATACAGAACATCAAATAAAGACCTATTGTAGAACACTTTTGTAGAGACCACTGAGCTGGCAATAAAATTATTTAACTGCAAAATGAGCTTTCTCTAACAAAGTATACGATCATACTGCTTCAACCAGTATTTTCTCTAACAAAGTATACGATCATACTGCTTCAACCAGTATTTTCTCTAACAAAGTATATGATCATACTGCTTCAACCAGTATTTTCTCTAACAAAGTATACGATCATACTGCTTCAACCAGTATTTTCTCTAACAGTCTTCTGTTAACTTACTGTATAAAACTATTTTAAAGTTCAAAAGTACTATGTTATAATACTGCAGGACTGGTCATCATCTTGTCACAAAGCTTTATATTAACTAGTGCTTAGACAGTCAATCAACTGGTACAAATATTTCTGTTTTTCTCGTGTGCTTAACTGTTTTCAAACGTTTCTGGTGTATTTGACTGTTTTCAAAGAAGCAACGGCATCAAATAACAAACCTGCCAGGGTTAAAACACTGAATCTTGGTTACTAAAGTTGGAATTTAAAAATATCGGACACTATGATGTGTTTGTAAGAAAAGAGGAAAGTATTGTTTTTCTATAAAATTGCGGAAAATAATGCTATTGGTTGTTCCCTCAATCCTAATCCATTTCTGGTAATCTGCTCAAGCATAGTAACAACCCTGGGTCATGCAAAATAAAGAGATTGTTTTTTACATGTATCATCATAAAAGTGGTTGAGCCAAAGATATTAATATTGAAAACATTTCAAGAAACTAAAACTAGTTTATGGTTGCAGGTAATGTTTAATACCATGCCATTTATAATCTCATTTCAGTTTTAGTAAACTTTACTAGATTCTAATAATCACAAAGTTGCGATTTCTTGAACCGAATTTCTGGATCTAATAACCAATACTTTGCTACATCACCACTCCGGTTCCAACTCAGGTGAAAGGAGTCTAAATAATAATTTTCCTTTAAAGCATTCAAAACTTTGAAAGTCACTAGAAAATAATTTTAAAAAACGATTCTTAATTAAGCATGAAAAGGTGTTGTAAGCAATTTACAGAAATACATATACTTATAGTTAGCTAGAACTTGTATGCAACCAAAAAGTAACTTTAGATGGAACTAAGAATTAATCGTACAAAGCGTACAACACCCCTCTTTTCTTTCTTTTTTGCGTGCCTGCCCCAAAGACCTGAAATAAAAGTGATCACCAAAGTATAAGTTCGGTCTTACAGCATGGCATATCATTCCACTATACTTTCTAATAGATATTAATGTTATTTTCTTTTACAGTTTTCCACATTGCGCTTTTGAACAAAAATAATCACAGAGTACATTACAAAACAACTTTGTTTTTTATCTTTAGTTTGAAAAGTTCTCTGATAAGGACACTAAACCGTGGCCTAGTTGTTACTGTGTTCCGACTGTTAATCCGAAGATCCATTCATGATTTGAGGCTTATTGTCACAAAAAATATTTTGAGGCGGTGCGCTATAAGAGTGACGATGAAATCTTACTTTTCGATCAGAAGAAAGTATCCGAAGAGTTGGCAGTGAGTGTTCTTAACTAGTTGTCTTCCCTGCAATGTGG